TTGAAATGGTTTCTCCAAATATTCTAACAGGAAGATGATGAAGCAAAGACATGGAATATGCACATGGATAAAGAACTGGTTACAAGACCGCAGAAAAAAAGCAAACGTAAACAATACTACAAAGATTGCTGTTGCTCATGACACAAAATGATGTATAATTATTAAAGCTCAGTATGAGAATAAAATATTTACAGAACAGTTTTTCTTTTAAATGACTTTTAAATGGCATTTAAAGTTTTATGTTGTTAAACGTAAGGTTATGACTCTAGGCCGTGTTAATGGCATCATCTTATATACATGTAATAGAATTCAGTTGGGAAAAGAGACACAGAGAAGGACCTGGAAACAGTAAGCTAAGCCTCTCACCAAGTAGCAACTGAAAAGCGATATTAAAAAAGGAAGATAAAGAATGTCATGCAATTATGTTACTGACCCAGACTATATTACTTATAAAATCACATCTTGTATATGTAATAAAACTTTGGGTGCTGTAACAGTAAGTATATTTGTAGAGGGTAAAAATGGCAAGCAAGTAGATCAAAAAGGTATGGGAGGTCTTGCTAAAGAGATGTTAGAAAAACTAAGTTTGTCTGCTTGGAAAAAAAAGACAAATTTAGAGATTATCTAAATAACGTAATTTATATATCCAAGGTCAAAATAAATATATGGCAAATAATTTGTTTTTATCTCAGTGATTGTACAGAGATCAAGAAGATAGATGAGCTGCCAGAAGAGATGTTATCAGTATACATTTTGTTTTTTACAGTAAGGGCTCAGTCACACTAGATGCAGTGCGCTCTGGCCCGATTTTGGCGGGAACGCACTGCCTTGCATTGGCTCACTTTTTAGCGGCTGGCTCACTTTTTAGTGGGGTAGGAGGGGGCGTGGCGGGCCATTTAGGTGAATGGCGCCATAGCCACGCCCTCAGGCCGCAATGCGATCCGCCGCATGGGATCGCATTGCGGGCCCGGAGGGCGTGGCTACGGCGCCATTTACTTGAATGGCCCGCCACGCCCCTCCTACCCCCACTAAAAAGTGAGCCGGCCGCAATGCGAGGCAGTGCGTTCCTGCCAAAATCGGGCCGGAACGCACTGCATCTAGTGTGACTAAGCCCTAAGATTGGTCCAACTCCTGGTACACCCTACCTGTAATTTAAAACCAATAATGTGATTTAAATAGGTTTAACCTCTTACAAGAAATTATATCGATAGATATTGAAGTATTTTTTTTTGACCAAAACTTAAATTTGAACTGTGCTTAGGTGAAGATTATTTTTTCCTTTTAGGCTCAAAATACATCCTAGGTTCCCTGGGTTTTTTATGTTATGTCTTCCTTTGTACCAAAACTACAGGAATATAGGAGAGGCTGTATTTAATGAATGTGTCTTTTTAACCTAATCCATATACAATTTTGCCATGTAATTCTAAGTTACCTTTTGCAGTGACACTAAACTCAGGAGTTGAATTTTAAAAATATGTTTGAAGTACCTTAACTATTAACAAAAATGGATCTTATTTGTGTATCACTCAACTGTAGATCTTCAAATCTATCTGAATTGGTGCTGACACTGTCCATCCTGGCTACTTTTGTTCCCCATGGTCTCGCTGTGTGTGTTGTAAAGTCGCCACTGCTCCAAGCTCCCTCCTTTGATGGACTACAATGTCAATACAACTGAGAAAACTAAACACGAGATTGCATTCCATCAAGGGAGCGAGCTTCGGAGCGGTGGGACCATGGGGAAGGACAGTATCAGCACAAATTAAGAAATTATTTAAGGCTCTACAGCGGAGTGAAACACAAATAAGATAAATTTGTGTAGACAGGGTACTTGAATGCATTTTAAAGATTTAACTTCTGAGGTTAGTGTCACTTTAAATTTCTGAAATACAGTAAATCATATATCACCTCATCTGATCATACTAAACAGGTTGGCTGTTCTAAATTAACACATTCTCCACATTATCTTTGTTATTTTTCACTACCTAGCTGAATAAGCACACAGATGCATCTAGTAGCATATGTGTGCTGAGAGCTCATGTGAAGACTTCTGTCAGCATAGGATTTTTGCACTCACCATAAAATTATTTTATATCATTTCCATTGATGGTCACAGTTTGAACATACTAAAGCAAGCTACGGTTATACCACCACCCACAGGAGAAATGGACACTAGGCACATATAAAACTGACGGCCAGTGACCTTGATGACATAATCCCTCCCACCTCATGCCTTAGTTGTAACAAGCAGTCCAAAATGAGAACGATAGTATATGAGGGGAGGAAGCTGTGTACCTCAATGGACTCCATTTAAAGGATTTTACAGTGAGTACATGAGACACAGCTTGATGCTATGATTCTGAAAAGATAACCATTGCTCTTCTCCCCCAGGGTCTGGCAGTCTAAGGACTGGTGATGTCATCACGTTTAATACAGCCTATTAGACGTGAAGACGCCGAGGGACATACCACAGCTGGAGCAGAAATGGTATTTCTTCTTTATTTTCACCCTTAGACATAAATAAGCAGTAAACTCTTGCCACGCGGAGGGGGTGTTTGGCCCCAATGCAAGGGTTAACTTAAAAATCCTGAAGTTCTTCTTTAAACAACCTAGGGATGTCCAAAAACAGTCCAAACAGAGGGGCGGGCACTCCCAAACACAACTCCCAAACACAGGCAAACCACCCAACAAGAATGAATCCAGCAAAACAAAAGGAAAACGAGGGCATTAAATAGCTTCAAGCAAAACCTTTCAGCCAAAACTAGCATCTGCAGAGACCGATACATCAACCTTGTAGAGCTGAGAAAACAAATGTAAAGAAGAGCAGGTTGCAACCTTACAAATCTGATACACAGGCCTGATGACAAAAAAAACCAAGAAGCACCCACTGCCCTAGTGGAATGGGTTAAATGGGTAAAGGAGACACTTTATATTGCAACTCACAGGCCTGCACAAAAACCTGTCAAATCCATTAAGGGCTAGTGGGCCTGGAAGCTAGAGAACTTATTTTAGGATCTTAAGGAATAACAAAGAGGGAATCTGTCTGCCTAGAAGAAGCAGTGGAAGAGTTGAACACGGATGGTCCTCACCACATCCAGGCAATGGAGAGGGACCTCCTTGGGGTGAATCCATGGCAGACACAAGGAAAGTAACATGATATCCTCATTAAGGTGAACTTCAGAGACCATTTTGGGTAAAGAGTAGGCCCTTGGTCTCAAAACAATCTTGTCTGTAATATCACATGGGGCCCCTTACATGACAATGCTGAGAACAGAAAAACCCTTCGAGCCAAAGTGAGGGCCACAAGAAAGGCTACCTAACAGGATAACAGAGAGAGCAACACATGCAAACCCTTGACTGCAAGCATGAATTAGTGAATATTTTGCAAGAGGACATTGGAAAAGAATGGACGAGACAGACATCCGACCCTTGATGGTAGTAAGAGCTGAAGGAAAGAAAGAACATGGCCCACCAAAAAAGGCACATGGGAAAATAATCACACACTCTCTTCTCACTACTCTGTGTTAATTGAAGGACACAGCAGAGATTATTGACTGTTGTGTTAAAGCGCCACATTCAGGGGTAGGACACTTGGCACAAAAACCAAAGAGTGAAAACAGCTTTTTAGTGGCCTGTGGAGAAAAGATCATAACAAAATATATTTCCACCTTCTCAGTGCCATCTACAGTTTATTCTGTGGTAGAACAAACACACAATAATCAAAGTAAAACCACAAAAAATCTCATGATAATAAAATAAATAGGAAAAGTAATCCCCAACACAACAAAAGTGCATCTCAGTCACTCACAATAAGCAAGTCTTCAGAAAACACAGGAAGAAAAATTGCCACAACTCTAGTTTCCGAAACTTAGCAAAGAATCATGTTCTGGGGTGACCTGAATAGCAGAATCTTGTTTTAAATGGAACATAGATGGGTTGTCACGGCTGACTACAGGATCCAATATCCGACCTCAATCTACCAGTAGCTGATGAAATTAGTAAACATTCTTCCAATTCAAGCAAGCAAAAAAAAATAGCAGAAGGGTAAGGAACATCAATCCTCATAAGGACACTAAGCAGATGTAAGGTGGGAGGGGTTATTACCAAGGGGGCTGGCCTTAAGTTTTTCTATGTGCCTACTGTTCATTTCACCTGTTGGCAGAAATATAGCCCTAGGTTGCTTAATTATAATCAAGCTGTGTTCGTCAATGGATGGCAGAGAAAACCAGCTTCCCTTGTGTAGTTGGTTAGATACGCTGTAGAATATAGAACCTATGTTATACAGCGCTTTTTCATGTTTTACCAGTCGTTGCCCAGAGGAAGCTTACAAATCTAATGTCTCTACCAGACAGACGCAAGCACAACCACATACATTCTAGGACTAATTTGGTGAAACAAATAGCCTACAAGTATATGATTTGGCTGTGGAAGGACACAAGAACTGGTGGAAACCTTAGCAAACATGTGGAAATATAAAAATGCTATGCAAATAGAGTCCCTACTACCTAAGACGAGCAGAAATATACTGGTTGATTGAGGCAAAAAACAAATCTCTTTTCTTCAATTTTTATAGATCATCCAGACATGACAATATGCTTTTTCCTAAGCTAAAATTAAGAGACATTTAGAGAAAGAAATAATTTTTTGGCTAACTTCTCAATGTAACATGTGTCAGAAAACAAATAATTATAGGAACACACTGCAGATACTGTGCATAGATTATATTTTCAACCCCCTACCACACTATCAAACTATAGAAAAGTGATCGCTATATTTTATTTCACCAAGGTTTTGTGTAGACTGCTTTTGGAAGAACTGCAGAATGAAATGAACAGGGAGTACATACTACGGACCAAAGACTTGGACCAGGTTCTCATGGTCACATGTTCTCTGATGTCTGCAGGTGCATGCAGTAGATGGTGATGAATTCAAGCAGGACATGCATGGAATTATGAGGAGGTGAGCCATGTAGTGATGCACAGCAGCTAAGAATAGGTGCTCACCATTAAATGCACACTGGAACTTGACTTCCTTTTCTAGATAGACCAGAGGAGGGAGAAGAGTAAGAATAGAAATAGATAAAAAGAAGCAGATAGAAATAGAAAGGACAGGGGCATGGCAATAAAAAAGAGAACAGACAACGGTAGACCACGTTAGTGAGGCAAACGAGTGGGAGAGCCAATCCCAGCTGAGAGCAAGATAACAAGCAAACATTCAAAGTAAAACCACAAAGAGAAACATATAGAAGCGCAGAAAAACTAACATCTTAGACTCATTATAAAAAGGTATGTATAGTGAAATGTAGTGCATCTGATGCTTGTATTTGAGTATGACTATTGAAAACAAAATTGTAAAAATAGTATCATTAGTGCAAACTGTGCTTTAATTCTAGGTCTGGATAAATGTTACATAATTAGTCAGGTTGAAAAAAGACACAAGTCCATCGAGTTCAACCAGAATAAAAAACTTGCTGGATTTTGTATCTCTCCTGGACTGGAATGTATGAAATCCCCCAACCATTTCCATCTCTGCTGTTCCTAACACTCACTGTCATACCTTCTGCTACATTCTCTGCCACATGAAATAAATGGGAGGGGGAAGAGTCCTGGTAGCTGCAGCAGCAGGTGGAAAAGAATTCTGGCAACTGGGAAAACTAAAATAGTTTATGGTGGCTCCATTAAAGAACTGCATCATCCAAGACTGAGCTAGAGTCACTTGTTATTACCTACTTAGGATGATGTTATTGTCTGATAAAAAATTGCTATCATAAAAGTGAACAACAGATGGCACATCCCAAATGCACGCAGGAATATAATAGGTTGTATTTTGTATTCATGTGCTTGGTTCCAAGAGGAACTAGTGTACCCACATTCCACTGTACCTTATAAACTTTTATTGTAACAACAGTGAAAGAGTATTCCAAGTGTTGAGCGACTGATTTACAGACCTCTATCTCACTCTCCCCACTTTTACCTATTCACCAGTTTAAATGAATAATTCCCTCTGAAGCCTCTTCTTTAATTTAAAGTCCCAACTGGTCCCTCTTCATTAAGTCAACAAGCAACTGCTGGAGGACCCCACTGCTGGACAGCCAACAGAAAGTCTTAAGCCGGGTATACAGGTTTAGAGTTTAGGCAGGTTCTTGATTAACCAGAGGAAATTCGCAGTGTGGGTGCCGCTGTTGGCACCATTCTGCCTGACATCTCTCGATCAGCTGATCGAAGGAGCCAGTGGGAAAATACTTGGGTGAACGACACTAGCAGCCAATTAGCTGTTAGCTCCTTTCAGGTATTCTGACAGCTGCCAGTGGTAGCTGTCAGAATACAAAGGAAGTGACAAGGAATTTGTCCATTAACGCTTATGAAGGTTGATGGTGGATACGTTCTATTTTTTTTTTTTAGCCCGCAGGTTGAAGAAAAAAAAAATGTATGCCCAGATTTAGGTTTACTTTTCTTGAGAGAATGAGGGTTCTCCTTATGTTCACCTCACTGCCTGGGTGACAGCGCATCACATGATCACATCAACATTATTTAGGTGAGTGTTTGTGCTTCTTTTTTAGGTATTTTTGTTTTCAGCTTAAAAGTTGAAGGATTTTTAAGAATGTATTTTACATTTAAAAGGGATTTATTTCCAATTCCAGTTTAGCATTCAGTAGTCAAAAAATATATTTAAAAAAAAATAAATCAATCTCCTTTGCGTGGGCATTAACATTTTTGTCACCAAATGCAGTAATATGGGATACCATAATGAGAACAGGTCTTACACAAGAATGTACAAAGCGGCATTAGAGAAGCTTTCTCAAGTGAAGACTCTTATTCTCAGATGTTTTCTCACACAGCAATGTTTGAGCAGAGATATTTTCAGTGTCTACGCCTACTACACTACTATCTGGGAGACGCGATCTGCTTTTACTGAATATACTTAGCAGGGCTTCAACGTATAGATTTGCTAAATCACATACTAGAATCATCAATTTTAAGAACTGAACTGGTGAAGAGTTATCCTTCTTGTCTTTTAAAACACTGAGTTATTACCAGAGAAGAATAATACATGTGCTAGAATGCTGAAGATATTTTATTCTCTCTAAGTGTTGAATTGGTACCAAACTACCACAGATGTCCTCTTCAATGTGTAGATACAGTCTATATATAAGAATATATATATATATCAGTCACTGTTGACTGTATTCATGGCTACAGATTATATATTGTAGATAAACCTATTAAGCTTATTCAGAAAGTAATAAGCAATGTGTGAAGTGCATCTTCCCAGGTCTCAGAGAACCAATTAAAATCCATGTCTTAATGCATCCAACTAAAGTAAACTAGCCAATGGTTATGGGTTACTGCATATTGCAGCTACTCATTATAATATTTAATAAGCCTGCAAGTGATTTCATATCAGAACTAGATGTAAAGGGATTAGACATAAGATTTATTCTCAGTACATACTGTACGCATGTAGTCTGGGAAGCCGACTGCATGGATGTGATAAATCTCCTGCTTGCTCCAGACTATTATGAAACCATGGATGTCCTTTGAATATTCAAGTCCTTCTTTAAACGTAATCCTTCCTGTTCTGAAATGAAAGCACATATGGTCACAGTGACCACACGGCTGCTTACTTGTGTAAAATCCCTAAATGCCCAGTCTCTATGCAATGCTGCATTTTGTTCTCTGCTATTATTCAAGAAATGTCAAAAAAATAAAAAGCTTTTATATTTTAAAAGTTTATACGAACAACAAGTATTTCTGCTGCAATATCCTGAACACATTGTGCTGCTCTTGAGATGCAGTTCAAGGCACATTTTGGACATTTTCTAAGCAAGTTATACATACATATACATATATATATATACATACATACATACATATATATACACACACACACTGTATATATAGGTGTGTTTTCTGTACCCACAGTTAGCTGTCAATTTTCACCCACTAAAAGGTGAACTATGGGGTGAGTGAACTACACTCATCCCTATAGTTAGAGCCGACATGCAACATTGAAACAGTTACATGTCAGGTCTATTGATTGAGAAGAGAGGGAAAACATACCGCTGCTCGCTCATTTCCCGATCATCTCCCTGCAGAGAGCTGTGACCGTCAGTCACCGCACCCTGCAGGGAATCCCTTCCTCCCCTCTTCGATCCTCCAGCGCTAACTGAAAGGAGCCAGTGAGGTGTATCTCGACAGTATTGTCGGGATCTGTCACGGCTGTGGCGCTCTCAGCATATAGTGGGTAAACCCCTTATATGGTTAAACTTGTTGAAACTGGATTCTAACTGGACACTAGCCCCTCAGTAAGATAGATATATCTATATATTAGGGCTGCGTAAATTAACGATGAATTACCCGATTAATCGTTAAAATTTTTGATCGATTAAAATTATTTTTATCAATAATGAAAACACTCACCTCTCCGCCGGCTTCCGGGAGTCCCGTCGTAGATCCGGTGACGTCACGGACATCGACGTCACCGGACTCCTCCCCCCTTCCCTTCGTTAGGCGACGGAGCCACTTGGCCCGTGATCTGTTGACACTTATCGAGTTCTGCGACCGCCTGACTTGCGGTTTTGTTACAACCAAGAGGTTTGCCCAAGAAACTTGAGCGCCAGCCAAGGCATTGGCCTATACACATACAGCACAGCAATGAAGTAATAAAATGAACTACGATTACACTAATCCAGCACGTTATTATTCTGAGTTGCCCCACTCAAGCGGCGGCCATATTGAGTGGGGCACATGAGATTAATAACGTGCTGGATTAGTGTGATCCTAGTTCATTTTATTACTTCATTGCTGTGCTGTATGTGTATAGGCCAATGTAGTTGGATCTGTATGTGCGTTATAATTAATCAAAATTAATCGATTAAAAAAAAAAAAAAGTGAGCATCACCTAGGACACCTTGGTGGATATGCCTAGAGACCTTTGAAGACGGTCGTTTCCAGGACTTTCTGATCTTACAAGCTCCCTGGATTGGTCATATTATATTTATTTGGTTTATCATCTGTAACATCTATACATTGTACATAAGTTAAATACATTTGTTTATTAATATACTACTTGTGAGTTGTTTGAATAATTGCACTGCACCCACAAATGTGGAAAGTTAAGCGCACAAACATGTTAAATAAATAAAACAGGGAGTTAACCCTTTGTTACACAGAGTTAAAACTAAATGTAACTAGAAAGATTATTAGTTGTCTCTACTGCAAGGTAGTAGTTGCAAATGTAACCTAAAAGTTATAAATAAAGTATTTAAAGGACAAAAAAGTTAAGCAGAGAACAGCTCATGAGAACTTGTTAACATTGAAGTATCCACCACCAAAAAAGAAAAAAAAAACACATTAAAAGTATCAATATATTAGATCGACAAAGTTTAGAAACAGTAACACGTATGAGGTGATGCATTCTACAGAGGATGACATCAACAAAATGGTTAGGTGCCCAATAATATTCTTCTTTGCTTTCAACCCCTTCATGACTGGGGGTAACACACCTTTGTAACTGGAACAAATGAGGCAGATTTGAATTATTTACACACAAATTTGGAACCACAGACGCACATTTCTGCATTGTACATGTTCAACAGAATCACCCCCCCCACAAGCCCTGTCAGGCCTCAAATATACAGAGGTGGCACTAGGCAAATGAAAACTCTCCTAAGGGGAAGCATAGGAGGATTTCCCTCACTGTGCCAAGTGTCACTGTATCTTATATTTGAGGACTGTTTTAATGGAAGGAGGGGGGTTGCTGGTGAAAGGGAGGAATCTGGAAGAAGCTTTTTGAAATCACCACCCCCTGTACTTTGGGTGATTAATTCTGTTTGTTTGCAACCCTACCGGGAGGCTGTATCATAGTTATGGCATTAGCATTCAAATTTCTTCCACATGGCAGTCAACTTCTTCAACATGTAAAAATAAGGTCAATCAAATAATGTTTTCTAAAAAGACTGATAGTAGCAGAAATAACCCTTTATAACAAAACTGGTTTGATCATTCTTCTCCATAACTACTTTGTATTCCATTTGGTCACTCTAAACATACACTCTTATTTGTTCTACAGCCATTCTTGGTTATATAATCTGTTCTATCTGCAATTATTATGTCTTTAATACAAATTAAACCTTAGTCCTAAAAATAAAGGCATTGCTTACAACAATTTAGCAAGGATTCTGCCATGTAGAGGGTGCTTTGACCATTAGGAAGTGCTCATTACTGAACACAAAGTTTTCCTACCTCACTGGAAAAATCTTGACATAGGTGGCAAATGGTTAATTCTTTATGTAGGAATTACAACAATATCTGTGCATGCACTAAGAATTGTTGCCAAATATGCAGATGAAAAGCTTGTAGCTGGTCCTGGCATCAACGTGATGGTTTCAATGATGAGAAAAGGTTTAACTGCCAGTTATTCTCAGAAATAATCCTACTCATGTCTAGCCCAAGGCTGGCCACACATGGCATGATATAAACAAGTACCTGGGCCAATATAAGCACTTGTGGAGACACCCAGGCCATATAGGGACGGGGTCCTTGACAGCTACAATTGTTAGAAGTGAAACTAATAAACACAAAAAGCATTTCCAACAAATCTCTTCCTGGTTGATATTTTTGATATTCCCTTTTAAGTGGAAAAAGAAACAGAGCTTTCAACCCGCAAGGGTGCATGTAACAGGAGATCAGGACAGTTCTTGGCAGTGTGCAAGATATCTGAGGATAGGCAGATGTCTTACTGCCTGTCCTCCATAACCAATAAAACAATTGCACCTTTAAGGCCACTCTAATAGGGGTACTGGGCTGGGGGCATAATGCTGGAAGGAGCATTTGTAATCTAGGATATAACTACGGAAGGTAAACAGGATCAGGATGGTACCAGAATTTTAAGGTCATCAGTGCCCCAATCATGAATGCTACTATTATTTACCAGCTGTGTGCTCAGATCGCAGAGTACAGCAACATTTACCTTTGTTTCACACATTGTTATTCTAAGATCTACTGTTTTATCCCCACAAATTTATGTAGACTGAAAAAGGCAAACTGTAGGAAGTTTTTTTTTTTTTTTTTTCTTAAACATATTAACCAAGGACTGAATGCAATTATATAAAATGTAACTAGCTCCTCATAGAACAATTCCCATTAAAGTCTTGTTGCCTGTATTTTTGCCAAAATGTACCACAAAATAGTGACCACAATTCCACAGGATATTATCCACATAAATATATTAGAAGTCCTCCTCCTAAAGCAATATTATTGCTTTATTATCAGTCAGAACACAGCTAGAATGATGAATGCTGTTTTACAAGTAGATATGATTAAACAGTTAACAAAGTTAAATAGGATATTACAATGCATAACAAAATATTAGGCATAATGGGATCATTCACCCCCTGTTGTTCCTGGAATTCCCCTTAATCCATTTTTGCTTCATTCAGCTGGACAAAATTCTTCTCTTTTTGCAAAAATTGATGGTAAGCAGCAGCAATGAAAACGGTAAACCAATTTAAAAATGTATGTATGTTTTATGATGCAATGAGACATACAGAGAATTATAATACAGCATTGATCTAATGCTCCAAAAATTATTGGGAATTAACACCCCTAGGAAAATAAAGGTTAAGCTGTGTTCTTTATATTTAAAATTGTAAAGCCCCAGAAATCTAAGTATAGGATAACTACTGTGGTCTTTAAGTGCGTTTTATGCAGATAATTGCATTGTAATACTTGCACTTAAAGTGACATTAAGATTTTTAAACATAAAACAATACTGTAATGTGTGCCTTACTGCAATCCATGGCCGTTTCCCTTTTCTTTGCTGCTCTTCCTTTTAAATCCTCATGTCTTCTCATGCTGGGGAGAACTTCTGTTTTGCAGCTGACTGCCTCTTCTCTGGAATGTTACATGGTGTCTGTGTGCACCCTCCCGACCAGAGCCAGGACTACAGGATCACGTCCTCCCGACATCCACATCCCCGCCTACGTTAGATTGGCAACAGCTGTTGCCTGCATCCTGGCTCAGGTTGGGAGCGCGCACACAGACACCATGTAACATTCCAGTGAAGAGGCAGTCAGCTGCAAAACGGAAGTTCTGCCCAGCATGAGAAGAGATAAGGATTTAAAAGGAAGAGCAGCAAAGAGAAGGGAAACGACCATGGATTACAGTAAGACACACATTAGACTATGGTTTCAAATATTGTACCTTCAGCCTGATGGAAGTGAATTATTTGGGTCTTGGATAAAAAAGTTCACAGCAACCAACAGGATTAGCTAATTAGAAAGTAAATTACTGTATTGTCCATTGTGGTTAAAGTTAAAGTATAATATATAATTATTTATAATACTTACATTTACAATTATAAACTGATTTTTTTACATTACATTATGCCACTAATTGCAAATAAATCCTTATTTTACAAATGCACATTTAATACAAGGTGCTTCCTAAACACTTAAGGTCTATTTATAACTAATTTCAGAGCCATTAGCCCTACAAATCTTTCCGAACTTTTGTTCTATGTGAATAGACACAAAAATAAATGTTCTTAGATATACACCAATCAGTCATATCATTATGACCACTGAGAGGTGAAGTGAAAAACATTTATTACCTCATTACAACGGCACCTGGGAGTCGGTGGGATATATTAGGCAGCAAGAGTACATTTTGTTTCTGAAGTTGATGTTTTGGAAGCAGAAAATATGGTCAGGGGTAAGGATATGTGACTTTGACAAGGGCCAAATTGTGATGGCTAGGCAACTGGATCAGAGCAACTCCAAAATTGCAGCTCTTGTTGGATGTTCCTGGTCTGCAGTGGTCAGGACCTACCAAAAGAGGTCCAAGGAAAGAAAACCGGTAAACTGGTAACAGGGTCATGGGCAGCGAAGGCTGGCCTTCATGGAAACGGTATTCTCTGATGGCAGTGACCACTTTCAGCAGGATAATGCACCCTGCCACACTGCAAAAAAAGGTTCAACAATCTGTGGGATGTGCTGTAAAAACAAGTCCAATCTATGGAGGCCCCACTGCGCATCTTACAGGACTTAAAGAATTTGCTACTGAGAGCTTGGTGCCAGATACCACAGTATACCTTCAGAGGTCTAGTGGAGTCCATGCCTTGACGGGTCAGGGCTTTTTAGGTGGCAAAAGGGGAACCTACTCAATATTAGACAAGTGGTCATATGTTATGGCTGATCCGTGTATTTTCTTTCCAGGTCGAATGTGATGTAACATTGCATTTTGACTACTAGAAGTGGCTGAGGAGTATAAGAAATAGCTATATGTTAACACAAAATAAAAAAAAATATTCAAAACTATTTTATATGGCATTGTTTTTAGTATTGTATGTTTAGTTTGTATGCATAAGATAAACCAAGTTATGAATAAGGAAGCCATTAGAAGCTTACGGTCATCATGTAAATGGATAGTGTCAACTTAAAAATAAACACGATCTAAAAAAATATTAGTCACCTAGCATTCTGAGAATGATAAAAAAAAATAGAGCCACAATTGCAACCTATTACCCTTGAAGCACTCAGTTATTAATTTCTATTAACTGTTAAAAATAATCACACTAAAATGCAAGCGAACAGCTCTACTTCAACCTTGTTTATCCAATATTCTAAATGATGAGCATATTGTAATAACCCAAAATCTCCAAAAACGTAGGGTAGAGTAAATGTTATCACATAACACCCAAGCCAAAATAAGATGTAAATCTCTTACAGAAATGAAAAACATTGTTCAAGCAAATAGTTTAAAAGCTTACCTTGACTCCATCTGTTTTCTTGTTTAATAGACTTTTGGCAGCTGTAATAAAAAAGGAAGATAGTGGTATATAAGTAAAGTTATACCATTGCAAATTTCTACCATTTATAAAATTGGTAGGGACCAGGGTTTTCAAATACATGACTTCCTACAGCCAACTTCTGAAGTACTCAAAGAAGGAGAAACAAACGTCTGCAAAGTAATGGACAACAAGTTGCTGTATATTTGACATTTTTTTTCATCTTTCTAGACCAGGGGTAGACGACCTCAAAACTACTGCTGTGGTAAAACTACAACTTCCATCATGTCTCTGCCTTTCAGAGTCTTGTGGTGCATCATGTGACTTGTAGCTCCCCAACAGATGGTGTGCCAAGGTTGCCTGCCCCTGTTCTAGAGAAAGAAAAAGCATACATGTTATGAGTGTTATGTTTAGTTTATATGCAACTCTATGATTCATCTCTGTGGCACTTGTTTCCTGTGATGCGTTTCCTGTTCCTATTCTGTGGGTTCTCTTCTAAGAACATGACTCCTGTACACTAACGGCTTATACTGTCATTATTACCACATAAAACATGGTGTCAGAAGTGGGATCATAGAGTTGCATATAAACTAAACATAACACTCATAACATCTCCCTCTTAATAAATGATCATTGTGAAATGTGGATGAATCCTTGTAATAACATATTTACAGGTTAAGTCTTTTGGGTGGTTGTGAATATCTACCACTGCGGGTGAAAACTGGCCCTCGTTGTATAAAGTGTTTCTTAGCCCTCTCCGAGGTTACTGGGCTCTTCTCACCACTTACTGGCATGCTCTGCTCTTCACTCCCGTCCGATATACCTGCTTCCTCCGGACTGTCATTAACATTAGTCTGTGGCATCATCACTGTACATTCCCTACCACCAATTGGTGAGTTTGCCCTTGCATTACCAGGCGAGTCTGGCCTGTCAACTGGATAATGTGAATCAGGCTTTTCAGCCACACGCAGATCCACACGATTGCGACGATAGAGAGTTCCATCAATGTCCACAAGATAGGAGCGTGGTGCAACCTTTCGCAGACAAGTACCCATTCTCCAACGACTTGTTCGATCTCCAGGCAGCGGTTTCATACGGATTCGTTCCCCAATATTCAATTCAGGCATATCTCTTGCAGATGTGTCTGAATTGAATATTGGGGAACGAATCCGTATGAAACCCCTGCCTGGAGATCGAACAAGTCGTTGGAGAATGGGTACTTGTCTGCGAAAGGTTGCACCACGCTCCTATCTTGTGGACATTGATGGAACTCATTATCGCAGGTATATCGGATGAGAGTGAAGAGCAGAGCATGCCAGTAAGTGGTGAGAAGAGCCCAGTAACCTCGGAGAGGGCTAAGAAACACTTTATACAACGAGGGCCAGTTTTCACCCGCAGTGGTAGATATTCACAACCACCCAAAAGACTTAACCTGTAAATATGTTATTACAAGGATTCATCCACATTTCACAATGATCATTTATTAAGAGGGAGATGTTATCAGTGTTATGTTTAGTTTATATGCAACTCTATGATTCATCTCTGTGGCACTTGTTTCCTGTGATGCGTTTCCTGTTCCTGTTCTGTGGGTTCTCTTCTAAGAACATGACTTCTGTACACTAACGGCTTATACTGTCATTATTACCACATAAAACAATACATCTATAAAAAGATCCAAGCGCAGTACAGATTCTACATTAAACTGTTTATTTATGCCAGGAGCAAACTTCATATTGATACTTTTATGCAAACTTTTGAAACTGGATTGTTAGTGAGCTCAGACAGCTATAAAAAATTCCTTCCATGATAAATGGACCATTCTATTGCTATTATATTAGCTGTGTTTAGATGCACAGATCTCTGTAGGGTGATGTGCATGCATTAAAGAAGAACTCTGTTCTAAAGGATACCCTGAATTTAGACACAAAGAAGCTGCTGATATCTGTGAATACACTGACGCATGAATGCTTTTGGCCTTGTAAAACCGGATAACCTGCAAGTTTGCAGATGGCCAACACCAGACACCCTGCTGGGTCTATTCCACCCTGTCCATGCATCCAGTCACTGAGAGCGGCTGAGTGAAGCACCAGAGAGCAGATACGCCTAATTTTAGTGAAATCTGACATCACCAGTACCCGTTACACAAAGTACATGTGCTAATCTCAAGAGTTTGCGGTACTAAAGATATACAACAGGTAGGCTGTAAATAATAATACAAATTAATAACACTAATATTATAATATTAATATCAGGTATCATTTGTAAACGATTTACAATTCTAATGGCGGAAGAAGTAATGTGGATGCTGAACTGCAGAAAACACCAGTAATCCTAAACTTCTATGGTTCAAATATATCAAACACACAGAGGAGCGGAGAACTGATGAAAAAATGTGTCCATATGCTTCTTTTAAAAGGTATGGAAACTCTACAGTATAAATCAAAATGGCTATAATATGATCTAGCAATAATAACAATGTTATTTTAGGTACAAATAGTGCTCAGCACTATTCTTCAATATGGTCTTAAAGGAGAACTATGGGGTTAAGGCTTTTCCCCATAGTTCTCCTTAGGGTAACAGGAGGACACAAACTAGCGTCCTCCCGTCACCCTAGGCTCAGTATACCGCAAGCTGCTCGCGGTATACTGAGACGCTGCAGCTGAAGCGGATTCCGACAATTATGCCGGGATCCGCCCTGCTGCGTGACTGACAGCTGGCTCTGCCTATCTAGAGGCAGAGCCAGCTGTACCCGCCCCCTCCCCTGTCCGTTCCACCAGTCAGCGCTGGAGGATCGGCGCGGGGAGGGGGGAATCCAGCCCCTCCCCTGTCACGGCAGAGAGCCGTGACAGGATCGAGAGGTGAGCAAACGCCGGTATGTGTTCGCTCAATTCCGGATCTACTCAGCCGACCTGTGACAGTCTCAATGTCACAGGTCGGCTAGAACTATGAGGTGAGTGAAAAGCACTCGCCTCATAGTTCTCCTTTAAGTCAAATGTAATAGTAACTCACCATATTGGTTTCAGCCATGCATACTGTTCAGATGTTTTTATAGCACTAAACTGACAACTGTCATGTACACAAAGTCTACAAACAGTTTTTTGTCACCTACAATCTCCTTTTGCTAAAGGCCAAGGCACCTTGCTTTTATTAATGAATATAAAAAAATTCTGCGCCATGGAAGCTGTCTCAAAGTGATAAATATAAAAGATGAAAAGCTGCAGTGCTAATAATATAAATAGATAGATCAAACAAATGCACTGCGCTAATCAATAATCTTAATACGTGAATAATATAGTGCTAAATATCAAATAGATCACATATAACCAATATAATTACTAAATAAATACTCATACATAGTAAAAAGTGTTTCTCATTGTAATATCTCCAGTAGAGATTAAGTGCAAATTGGCAATTAAAAGACCACCATAAATTGATGCAAGCAAAAAAAAAAAGTGACAAAGTGCCAAGTGCTATGCAGCTTAGGACTTTTCTTCCCCAAAATCTAAGGCAAAGCACCTCCTGCGCAAGACATTACATCTTTTGAGGAACTCTGTCTTGCTGGTCAATACGTTGAACATGGTCTATGATTGCTTTGGAACCCAGAGCGGACTTGCCTTTTATTGCAAAGTGGACACGTGATCTCCAGACTTCTTTCTTACCCTAACAAAGAGAATACATTCTTTGCCCACAAGGCTTCCATCTCCAGCTCCAGCTCTAATCAGGAATCGGAGTATAAGATTCTTACTAGATGATGCTACACCACCCTTTACAAAATGTTTCCACAATGCTCACCCCTGTGCTGGAGATGCAGTCAGCAGACATGCACCTTCTTACATTTCTTTTGGACTTGTCCTAAATAGAAGATTTTTTGGAATGCTATCTTGTGCATAATCTTCTAACTTACTTGGGTGCAACTGAGCAATAACCTGGTTGCTATACTCCTACATCTGTCTCCACCAATCCCCAAGACCCAATACAAACGTTCTTTCAATACACCTGAATAACACAGCCAGGGCATGCATTCCACTATATTGGAAACGCTCTAGACCCCCTCCACTCAACCCCTGGCTCCGGAAAGCAGACAACATACGCATTATGTGGGAACTGACATCTGCACATCACCATAAAGAGGAGAAGTTCTGCAAAACCTGGTTCTACTGGCCACACTTTGTATACTCTCAGGAATGCAGCAGCCTTTTGATTGCTTGATGATCTATCACCTGGGTGATGCCGTCCTCCATCAGGCACCACGTTGCCGCCCCCATAGCTCCTTTCCCTTCCCTCCTTTTTTTGTTTCTTGATATTTTCTATCCCCTCCCTGCCACTCCACTGCTCCTTCCTATCCTTTCCCCTTTCTTTTCGGTCTTTGTTTCCAGCGAAAGCACTTATGGACATAATTCATGGTGTCCTAGTTTGCAAAATGTTACTTCAATGTGATTTCAGAGATCATTGCCTAAAGCTGTGACCGGATGTTCTCTCAACGGACTCTCGGAAGTGCCTTCTTGGACCTGGAACTGGTTTTATGCTCATATGCTAACCCTGCCTTCATCTTCTGCCATGAGTTTAAATAAATCTCTTCCTAGTTGTGCAGGGAGCTTGCATCAAGACATACAGCAGCAAATATTGCAGTTATCGTGTTTGCATGGGAAACTCATACACATTAAGACCTCACAAGGAACAAACATTTTAATGATGCATATTTTCACATACTGATAGCATGGTAATGCTCATGTATATTGTAATTTTGGCTAAGTCTGCAGGTCTAATTAAAAAAAACATAGGAAAGTCAGACATTTTGTGGTTGTAGCTGTCAATTATGATACAGCCCAGCTAAGTTCCAGAAAAGTGTAATATAACCAGACAACAAAAATTTCAAATGATTGCTGCATCGGCATAAATGACAGTCCACAAAAAGTTTTTGCATGCAAGGAGAATATGCAGCAAAAGTACTGTATCCCCTTCTGCTTCTTTTAACAAAATAGCAAATACAATACAAAAAACATTAACTAAAATACCCTTGGTC